TGGGTGATCTCATCAGTGTCAGTGCTTCTTTGCTCCAGTGACACTCACCTCCTTGCTCTTTCTTGAAGATCCAGACTTATTCCTATATTGACCCTTTTTACACTTGCTGTTCTCTTTGCCTGGATATTTTTCTGCCACACTTCACATGGTTTGCTTCCTCCCCTCTTTCACATTTGGCTCAATTGTTACCTTGTCAGATTACTCTCTTAAGGAGCTAACTCCCTACCATTTGAGAGTTTTGAGCCAAAGGAGGGCCATACTTTGACTAATGTATTGACAGTATCCCTTTGCCTGTGGTGATGGGAATAAAGGTAAACAAGGGCTGAAGCAGTTAGGGGTGATTGCAGTTGCCCAGGGTGAAATAATTGTGGCTCAGATCAAGTGGTTGTGGAGGTGGTGAGAAATGGGCAGACTGCCGATATAAATTGAAGGCAGGGTCAGCAGGATCTGCTGCCACTTTGAATGTAGGATGAGAGAAAGATGGGCGTCAAGGGTGATTCTGAGGTTTTCGGCCTGAGAAAGCGAAAGCATGGAGTTGCACCTACTGAAATGGATACGTATCCAGGAAGGGCAAGTTTGACTTTAGTCATGGTAGATGGAAAATGAAGCTTGAATTAGTAGGAGGTCTTGGATGGAGTTATAACATTTAGGAATCATTAGCATATAAATAGGATTCAAGGTCATGAGCTTGGATGAGATCTGGGGAGTGTAGATAAAGGAAAGAGAACTTGGGGGTAAGCCCTGGTGCACTCCAGTGTTCAGAGGTTGGGGAAATCAGAGGGAAGGTCATTGAAATAGAGAAGAGCCAAAAGAGTGGGATCCCAGAAACCAAATGAAGAATGTTCTAGGAAAGGAGTGATTAGCTGTGTGGAAATGCTGCCGATAGAATAGGTAGTAAGGTGAGAACTGAGAAATGATATTGGATTTGGCAATGGAGAGGTCATGGATTAGCTGATTTGGTAGCGAGGTGGGAAGAAAGAACTAACTGGAGAGGGCTCAGGAGAGAATAGTAAAAGAGGAAATGTAGACCTCAAATACAGCCTAATTCTATTTTGGAGATTATTCTGTAAAGTAGAACAGATAAATAAGATGGGACCTGAAGAGGGATATGAAGTCAAGAAAGACTTTTTAAAATGATGTGTGTTTGCTGATGGTAGTGAGTAAAGAGGAAAAACTTGATTATATAGGAAAAAGAGAAGGGAAACAGTTGTTGGGAACATATATTCTTTTTTTTTTTCCTTTATTGATTTTAGAGAGAGAGGAAGTGACAAGGCGAGAGAGATAGAAACATTGATGAGAGAGAACATCAACTGGCCGCCTCCTGCATGCCCCCACTGGGGATTGGGCTCACAACCTGGGCATGTGTCCTGACCAGGAATCCAACTGGTGACCTCTTGGTGCATGGGTCAGTGCTCAACCGCTGAGCCACACCGGCTGGACGGGAACGTGTATTCTTTTATGAGTGTTCTTTCCTTTAAAGCACCATACACAGAACTAAAGGAAACTTTTTTTAAAAAAAAATTATTGAATTAAAAAAATTTTTTTTTATTGGTTTTAGAGAGAGAGGAAGGGAGAGGGAGAGAGAGATGGAAACATCGATGAGAGAGAACATCGATTGGCGGCCTCCTGCATGCCTCCCACTGGGGATTGGGCCCACAACCTGGGCATGTGCCCTGACCAGGAATCCAGCTGGCGACCTAGTAGTGCATGGGTCGACGCTCGACCTCTGAGCCACGCCAGTCAGGCAAATTTATTGAATTTAATGGGGTGACACTGGTTAATAACATCATATGGGCTTCAAGTACACGGTTCTGTAACATCATCCGCTCACCACACATAGTCGAGCCTTCCCCTGTCACCATTTGTCCTCTTTACCCTTTCCATCTGCCCTCACCCCCCTCCCTCTGGTAATCACCATACATACCATTGTCAGTGCTCATGAGGTTTTTTTGGTTTAATCCCTTTACTTTTTTCACCCAGCCTCCCCCCCCCAACCCCCTTCTCCTCTGACAGCTGTCAATCTTTCTATCAGTGAGTCTGTTTCTAGTCTGTTTATTTTGTAATTAGATAAGGAAGGCTTCTGTTCTTCTTCCAGCATCCCCCACCAAACTCCCACAGGGCTAGGTGCCCTTCTTATAAGCTTCCATTTAACTCTGTACTTTTTATGTTATCCCTATATTTACTCCTTTTAGAGTATGACCTCTTACTTAAAAACAGGCTCTTTTAGGTCCAAAGAATCACACTTAACAGGGAAGAGTTGTAGGAGCTTATGTTAGTTCTAGGAGTTTAACATAACATCAGAACCACACCTTTTAGTAATCTGGGACTGTAACAGAAAGTAAGAATTTTATTAGGATCTTTCAAAGATTTTCTCCTTCCACTCACCATAATGAGTTGTTTGTACATCCTTAAGTGGCTCTTAACTATTCTCTCAGGTGTTGGGTTTTGAGTAGCCTGTATGTATTATTTCATACTCAGTCCAGCTTCTCAGTTCTCAGGATTAGTCCTGTTTCTCACTGCTGGCATTCCTGGAGGCACAGTGCTTGCTGTGACTCTGGCTGCTTCGCTTTGATTCTCTTCATTCAGTTCTCTCATTCTGCCTTTTCTGTCACAGGGTTAGGCTTGCGGTGATGAAGAAGTGCTCTGTCCTTAGCCAGAGGTTAATATAAGTTAAAAGATGTTGTAAGCAGTAAAACAAATAGTAAACAACTATGCAGGTGGTAGTTATCATTGTGATCTTTTGAGCTCAAGGTTTATATTTCTGTTTGCATTTTCAAGGTTTTAGGTCAGAGTTTTAAAATTAAGGCCAAGACCTTGCAGTCAGTTGCTAGGGTGTACGTAGAAAAGAATGGTGCGTGCTGAGAGCATTTGTGATCTTGGCTCCCAGCATGTCATCAATTTGGCTCAAATAAATTCTGGGTTGTTTTTTTTTTGTTTTTTTTAATCCTCACCCGAGGATGTTTTTGCATTTATCTTCAGACAGAGCGGGAGGGAAAGAAGGAGGAAGAGAGAGAGAATCATCAACATGAGAGAGACACATTGAGTGGTTTCCACCCACATGACCCTATCTGGGCCCAGGGTCAAACTGCAACTGAAGTCATGCCCTTAGCAGGAACTGAACCTGGATCTCTCTGGACCATGGGCTGACGCTCTAACTGCTGAGCAAAACCAGCCAGGGCCAAATAAATTCTTATTTAAAAAAAAAAAAAGAATGGTGCATGTTGTGGAATCAACTATAAGAAGTGTGCATGTGTGCTTATGTGTGTTCATCCATAAAAAAACCTGTAAATGTCTACTATGTTTAAAGATATGTTTTAGGGAGTTTGAGGTGCTTGTTTTCATAAGGGGGGAAGGGAGTGTAGATATTGGGAGCTCTTTAGTAGTCACCATATGAAAAGATTAGAAATCCACTCTTTAGTTATTCTTGATTATCTCTGGAGTTCTTTGTTCAAATAACATGTCACAGTGGAACCCAATATGTCAAAATCCCAAGCTGGGCTGCATGCTTGCAATGAAAGAGTCTGGAACACCCAGGATCTCACCAACTCAGCACATGTCTTTGTTTTCTTTGTAAGACTTCCCTTGGAACTTGTAGGTGTCTGTATAGCTTAATTGGAAGACCCCTCCTCTAGACTATGACAAAGTTTTTAAAAAACATGATTCCTTAGCCTTTCCCATAATAAAAATTGAGAGAGAAACTTTTTTCTTTTACACAAGATTTCTCTTTTAAAAAATAGAAGGTATTATATATAGCTTAGTTAAATGTTTTGTTTAAAAAATTTTTTTTCTTTATTGATTTTATTTTTTTTATCCTTACCCCAGGACACTCCTCCACTTTCCGTTCAGATAGAGTGGGAGGGAGAGAGAGGAAGAGAGAGAGAGAAAAACATCGACGTGAAAGGGACACATCGAGTGGCTGCCACCCACACGACCAACCAGGGCTGGGGACAGACTGCAACCGAGGTAGGCGCCCCTAGTGGGAAGCGAACCCAGGTCTCTCTGGACTGCAGGCTGACCCTCCACCCGCTGAGCCAATTCGGCCAGGGTTCTCTATTGATTTTAGAAAGAGAGGAAGAGAGAGGGAGAAAGAGATAAAAACCCCAATGAGAGAGCATTGATTGGCCATCTCCTGCATACCCTCCACTGATGATCTGGCCTACAACCTGGGCATTTGCTCTGACCGAGGATCGAACAGGTGACCTCTTGGTGCATGGGTCGATGCTCAATCACTGAGCCACACTGGCTGGGCTTAGTTAAATATTTTGAACTTCCAAACCTCTACATCTTTCCTATGAAGACTGGTTTATAGATAGAATCACTGAAAAATATTAGCTGATGATAATGGTAACAGATTGTCAGGGAATTAAATCTTATTTGGGGTATCCACTGATGTACTGCTTTATATAGGTAGAAGTTTGACCTTTGTGTGCACTTATAGACAAACTGTAAAGGCTGGTGATATATGTCATGAGCCTGTGGGTTATAGATACAAGGGTTTGCAAAAGTAGGTTTACAGTTGTAAGAACTTGAAATAGAGTTTATTCTAGTATTATTAATTAATTAATTATTATATTATTTATTATTATTAACCCACTCTTGCCCATCCCTGTATTAATGAAATGGTCTGAATGCATTAGTAAAAACAAAAGAATTACAGGGGCAGTTTTGTCTCTATTGTTTAGATTTTTTAAAAAATCAAATTAAGGTATTATTTTTATACTAAAAACAATAAAGCCAAAAGGTAATACTACTGCACTATAATGTTATTTGATTTATAATACAGATGATAAAAATTCTAGTTGTACTTTTTAGTAACTAATAATTTAATACTGTTTTTGATCCTCCCCTACTTTTTCATCCCTTTTTTCTTGTTTCATGTTGCTTCACCCAAGTTGAAGATGCCTGCATTTTGAACAGGTTGAACTTGTGGTCTTGGCTTAATTGTCATGTCACAATCTATTTTTGATTTTAATCTTATTATTATGCCTTTCTGTCTACAGACTGGTGAATTTTCAGCTCGTTTTCTTTTGAAGTTACCGGTGGATTTCAGTAATATTCCCACATACCTTCTCAAGGTAAAAATATATAATTGTCAATATAAAAATGTAAATGAGTCTTTTAAATAATTATTTAACTCTGAATATTTGTATGATTCATTTACCAGCATTTGTTTGGATGATGAATTCTATTAAAATATTAATTGTATGAGGATCCATTAAATTCATTTGTTACCTAAAAGCTAAAAGAGTAGCCTTAAAAGTAATTTTGAAATGATCTTTTCTTATAAGACAAAATTAGTATAGGTAAAATAAACTTTGGAAAAAAATACCTTTAGTTAATAAGCTTTTTGGGATGAAAGACTGTTGGAAATTGTTTTATATGCATTCTATCTTTAAGGTGGATTGCATATTAACTATGCTTTGCTAAAGGACATTTTATTTTCTTTATTTATGTTAGAAGTTGATCTCAGGCACCTTCATAGTTGGCCTGTCCTGGAGAGACCAAGAATTGAGTTAGGCCAATGTATATGGCATCCTTTAGAATGAATGCAGGCAAGGTGTGGCTGGGGGCAGTCTGCACATGCTTTGCAGAGAAAAGGTGAAATGCAAATGATTAGGCTGTGGTTAGAGTGAAAGAAACTAAATGGAGTGGGGAGCAGGTTCTGAACAGGAAGCTTTGAGACAGAGGTCTAGTCATTGTAGATGTGGAGTTTGGTTGACTGCCCTCAGTTCCATATTTTCAACCTGTGGTTAGATGGCTTTAGTCTAATGTAAGAAAAGTGTCTTGATGATGATTGGAAGTGTGGTCTGGTAGAATATAAACTATAGACCATATAAAAGATTAGGGAATACTTTTTATTTTTATTTGATTTTTTTATTTCTCACCCAAGGATACTTTTTATCATTAGACAGACTGGGAGGGAGGGTGGGGAAGAGAGAGAGACAGAGAGAAACATCGATGTGATAGAGCCACATTGACTGGTTGCCTCCAGCACCACACGACCAGGGCCTGGACGAACCGCAACTGAGGTACGTGCCTTTGACCAGAATTGAACCCGCAGCTCATTTGTCCATGGGCCAACACTCTAATCGCTGAGCCTAACTGGCCAAAGCAATTAGGGGACACTTAAAAAAAAATGTTTCATTAAGTAAAACATCAGATTTTTGTGCTTCATTAAACTTTTATTTTTAGTTTCTAGTTGACTAGTGTTCTACTCTGTATCCAAGGGTTGTATTGTCTAAGTGAGAATGGAATTGAGCAATTTATATTAGTTTCTCCACACTCCTGTTGTGGAAAATATACATATTAGATCTGTGATTACTAAGCATAATTACTTTGGTTTCAGCAATTACTGTGCTCCATTAGAATAGCAAGCAGTTTCCTTGGAAACTCTTAGATCCCAGACTCATTGACCTTCATATATTCCAGTTAAAAATCGATTTCAGCTTATTTCAAACCAGATGCAATAATATATGAGAGTACCTTATTTATATAATCACTTTACTCCATAATTTACAATTACAGTATCATTGTTTTGATTTTGGGGGCCTTATCAGTTTGATTGGTTGTCTTGTTTATTTGAACTTGATGTTGCCTCTGCTCATGTTCTTGAAGGTCAAAGGAAAAAAATGCTTCTTGAATCATAATCTGTCTAATTTTTTTCTCTTCAAAATTTTCCATTTTCTGTTCTAAGAGTTCTAACTTTATATTATATGCCCTCACTTTTTTTTTGCCAAATAGAAGAAAAGTAGGATCTATTTGTCAAAATTAGAAAGCTTCCCCCCACCCCCCGCCAATAAAAGTACCATGAAATGGGTTTTTCCTACAGATGAAATGGCTACATTGAAGCACTGATGTCTTTTCGGATTTTCTGTTCATGCAAAGAGAGTAAAACAAGAACCAAAAAAGAGAAACTTTTGTATAACACAAAATAATAACAATAAATAAATAGATAGATAAATAAATAGACAAATAAATAAATAATACCTACCTAAACCTATCTACTTTTATCAACCAATGTCACCCCAATAAATTCAGTTTAAAAATTTTTTAAAAAAATGATAAGCTCTTGGTGATTTTTGTCACCTTATCTAGTATTTCAATAACATCAACACACACACACACACACACACACACATACCTGCCTGCATTCTAGAAGTAATCTAAAACATCTGTTGAAGATCTTAAGATCTAAGTTTCTAAAGTTGTTGATTCATAACCTGGGAATATTTGACTGTACTCTTAAAAACAATATTTGTGTTAGGTGCTGCTTTACATATTATTTGCATTTGGATACTTCTAATTTACTCACCAGGCTTATGACTAATAGTCTAAGTCCTAAAATAAACTCCTTAAATTTCTAGGGTTACGATACTCTTTACCAGCATCAGTGTAGTTTTACCTTAACATCCCAAATACATGAAAGGGTAAGTAGACTTCTTCTACACTCTGAGATAGTGTGGAGTTTGACTGCAGACCCTACTGATTTGCTGTAGTGAAACTTTACTACACTGTGATGAAGCCATCATCCACTCATAAGTTTCTATGTCCAAGTGTACCTATTTTGTTCATTAGTAGAATTTTTTGATGTTAGAATGAAAAATCCATTAAAAATTTAGCAATCATGAATTTACTTAATATTGTCCTCTAAGCACATACGGTCCTTACAAGGGGTAGAGTGAATTTATTCTGAAATTAAATCCTGACGTCATTGTCCAAATTCTATTCTTGGCTGAGGTAAGCCAAAGGGTGAGATAAGTTATTTACATAAAAACTCAGTCAGTAAAAAAATACTTTTATATTAGTTAGGACCTTTACTTTGGGTGGTAGAAATCCAGCGCAAGCTAGTATAAATGTAATGGGAAATGTAGTACAAATCCTCTGCTTCCATACATAGCAGGAAACAAATCCCACGCTGGATAGTCTGTAGATAGGTATAGACCAACTTTCTCATGTCTGTCCCGTTTTTGTCCATGTACACATCCCTGAACTTCTCAACTGGAGTGCTTATAGGAAGAAATAGTGGTCCCCAGAATAAAGGGGGAATCACTGAAATGACAGATGTGGAAATATTCACTACAGTTACTACACCAAAGAAAGATTATTTTGTACTTGTGTGTTTTCTTTTACGGACGAGCTAGTCATTAGAAGATGCTGCTCTTGATTTTCTTTAGGATGTGATGAAAATTGACTTATGTCTAGTCCTATCTTTATTCTTGTTCTGAGAATTATTAAGCCTAAGAATATGTTGCTAGAAAGCATTTTTTTTTTTTTCTGTAAAACTGTAGTCCATCATGAGATACAGGAAAGATTTTAATTGTCTAGGAAAATTTTTATCATCTGAACAAGTACTCAGAAACTAAGAATATAGTGTTTCAGGGAGGGGAGAAGCTTACTTGTAAACACAATATGTGTTTGAATTAGCCTCTTAAAGTAATGAGCCAGTTTTATTCAGAATATGGTGAAGTTGAAATGCTATAAGTTAGGACCCTTTCAGCAGCATTAAACAGAAATATCTAGGAAAACTGCTGAATCTCACTAAACTAGAAGACTAAATTCATACTGATATTTCCTGCTAATAGTGGATATGACAAACATAACCTTTAACAAATCAGTGTTGCCCTGGCTGGTTCGGCTCAGCGGTTAGAGCGTCGGCCTGCGGTCCGACCCGGGTTCGGTTGCCGCTAAGGGCACGTACCTCGGTTGCAGTTTGTCCCCGGCCCTGGTTGGTCGTGCGGGTGGCAACTACTTGATGTGTCCCTTTCACATCGATGTTTCTCTCTCTCTTCCTCTCTCCCCCTCCCACTCTACCTGAACAAAAAATGGAAAAATGTCCTCAGGTGAGGATAAAAAAAAAAAAAATCAATGTTAACTTTTTTTTTGTTTGATAAGACCATAATTGTTCATATAGTCGTCTTAATCAGTTTGGGCTACTGAAACAAAACACCATAGAGTATGTGACTTAAACAACAGATATTTATTTCCCACATTTCTGGAGGTTGAGAAGTCTATGATTAAGTCACTAGCAGATCCACTAGCTGGTGAAGGCGTTTCTTGGTTTGTAGACACCCATCTTTTCACTCTGTCCTCACATGGCCAAGAGAGAGATCTTTCTCTGGTGTCACTTCCTGTAAGGTCACTAATCCTGTTCATGAGGTCTCCACTTGCTTGACCTGATTACTTCCCCAAAGCCCTTTCTCTAAATACCATCACATTGGGGATTAAGCCTTAACATATGAATTTTGGAGGGACACTAAACATTTAGTGATAGTTGTAGTCTAAATAGTTGCTGGAGGGTCTCTAAACTAGGTACTATTGAGCCCTAGATCAGCCCAGACGCAGGACTGCAACCAATTTACTGGGACGGAAGTGCTTGGACTTCTGTTTTCCACAGTGTTTTTATTCACATCATTTCACATTGCACATGAGCTCATTCATCCTGATGGATTGCTTGCTATGATTTAGTCCCACTCTGGTCTCTGAATCATGACACTGTATGGAAATGAGTTGAGGATGAAAAAGCTAAAGTCGTGTCTGGAGATGAGGTTCTTATTTTTCTCGTTCTTCTCTGGCAGGTCCTGTGGCTGTACTGATCAGTCAGGGCACACCCAGAGCAGGGTAGTGGAACACAGTGTGTCAGACAGAGGCAGAATGCAAGAATTAAGGTCAGGTTATCAAGACAGGTTCAGAGGCTTAGGACAGGCAGACTCTTAGGGAAATATCCATATTGGAATCCAATGTGGTCTGAGGTCATTAATATGGAGGAAAGCATCCAGGGTCCTCGTGTGCTGAGTTATCCTGGGTAGGAGCTGCCTCCTCAGCCAGACATTGGCTAGCTTAGTCAGTCTGCTTTCTAATCAGACCTAGATGAGCAAATGCAGATGCTCCCAGGATCAGGCAGGTACTGAGAAGGAGTGTATTTGCTTGGTAGGATAGTAGGAAATGGTGAGAACTGTAGTGAACTAGCAAGTGTGTGCTTCACCTAAGGCAGCAGCTGCGACAGCTATAGAGTTGTTTCCATGTGAGACTGTGGGCCTAATGTTGCCAGTTATGCAGACATTATTAAAAGAAGCCC